CTCCCTTCACCTTCTTTTATTTTGTAAATCCACTCACAGTCAATCAGTTTCTGCCCTTGAGGTCTTTTAACTAAAACCAAATGTTATTCTTAAGAAGTGAACACATTTCATCTTCCATGGCTGCTTTCCAACCCTTAGCATTTTTACTGTTAATGGCATCATTATAAGTACTTGGCTCATTTTCAAATTGTTCTTGGAAACTAAATAGTGAAACAAATTCATCACAGTCAAATCTAGAGGGTGGCCTAATCTGCGTTCTCTCTCTGTCTCTGGTAAGCTGATAATCATTAACAGGTAATGTAGTAGTGTCTGTCTGATTATTCGAACTAATATCAGGGTCAGTATCAGGTTCAATTAAATTTCCAGTTTCACCAGAGACAAACTCAGTTAAAGCAGGAATAAGTGCTCAATTTTTAGTAGACAGGGACTCCACCTCAATTTGAACATCCTTATCAGTCAAATTATTATCTTTACCTTCTAAACATGGCATGACATATTCATTGAAGACAACATCTCTTCTAATAATTACCTTAAAGTCTCTCTCACCCTTAACCCACAGTCTATATCCCTTTACATATTCACCATAATCTAGGAAAATACATTTAAGTGATCTAGGTTCTAATTTTCCAATATTTTGATGAGCATATGCAACGCAGCCAAATATTTTCAAATGTGAATTAAATGTGAATAATCAACAGGATTTTCAGACCACACAGATTCAGTGATTTCAAAATTCAGAGAACTAATGGGACTTCTATTGATCAAATATGCAGCAGTTTTCACAGCTTCTCCCCAAAATAATTTTGGCAGGCCAGAGCTTAAGAACATGCATCTAACTTTGTTTAATAAAGTCCTATTCATTCTTTCTTCAACGCCATTTTGTTGAGGGGTATAGGTAACAGTTTTATGTCTTAAAATGTCTTTGCAAAAACAATTGAATTCATAATTGCAAAATTCCAAACAATTATCAGTCCTCAAAATTTTATCTTTTGATCAGTTTGATTTTCAAGTTGTGTTTTCCAGTCCTTAAAAACAGAAAAAGTTTCATCCTTTGATTTTAATAAGAAAATCCAAATTTTTCTTGAAAAATCATCAATGATCAGAAGATAGTACTTATAGCCAGACAGTGTACACACAGATGCAGGACCCCACAAGTCAGCATGTAAATATTCAAGTATTTGTTTGGATTTATGAATTTCAGGTAAAAATTGAAGTTTGACTTGTTTGCCAATCAGACACTGTTCACAAGAACCAATGTCACCAAAATTTTGATTTCCAAAAACTCATTTATTTTATAATGCCTTTAAACTCTTTTAACCAATGTGTCCAAGTCTTTCATGCCACGATTTTGCAAAAAAGAAATTTTCAATCAAGGCAGCAGTAGTAAAACCGAGTAAGGGTTTTGCCTTTAAAAAATATAGACTGTGTCTCTTAGGGGTACTAATGATCAGGTCATTACCCCTAAGAATTTTTATGTGTCTTTGACCCAATTTTATGTCGAACTCCATGTCATCTAACATTCCTAGAGACACCAGATTCCTTTCTAATTCAGGTACATATCTAGTTCCTTTTAGAATTCGAATATTACCATTCTCAAGTAATAACTTCACAGTTCCTATTCCACTAACTTTACATGTCATGTTATTACCCATTATTACTTGCCCACCAGTTGTTTTTTCAAAATCAAGAAAAAAATTCTTATTAGGGCACATATGGAAGGAACAACCTGAATCAAGGATACATTCATCATTCAACTTTTTCTCAACATTGACCAGAATAATACCATCCTCAGTTCCCTCTCTATTATAAACTAAGGCAGCATTCCCATCATCATATTTCTTATCTTTCAGCTCATTTTTCTTTTTGTAACAGTCTTTAACAAAATGTCCAAGTTTTCCACAATGAAAACATTTCTTCCCCTTTGCTTTATTTTTGGATTTATTCTTATCACCCCATCTGGTTTTATTTTCATTAAAACTCTAGAAGTGATAGCTAGGTTTACTATGACCCTTCCCTCTTATCGTAAGAGTGTCTCCATTATCTTTTGCTTCAGATTTTATTTCTAATGCTTGAATCCTCAGAACATTTATAATAATATCAATGGTCAGGTCTTCCCTTCCATATTCNCTCTATATATGTCACTAATGGAGTTCAACAAGACCACAGTCAGCTGATCTTTTGAGAATTTCTCATCACAGTTGGCAAGGTCTTGGGTCAATTTTGTAAACCTATTCAGATTGTCATCCAAGTCAACAGTTTTGGTTTCACCAATGGTTCTAATCACATTGTCAGATAAGTACAAGAAAATAGTACTCCAAGCAGTGTCATCAAGTTCAGTTTTCTTAGCAGTAGTCATTTCAGGTGGCCAAGATCCACCTAAAGCTATAACATACTTCATTTGAATCAAAATGGCTTCATCTTTTGACTCCACATATTAAAATCAATTTTCCCATCAAATTGTGCAACTTCAAACTTAGCAGAAGCCATATCAATTACACGCAAGGTGAACAGGTATGAGTCAAAATATAAAGCAATACTAGAAAAACCAAGTAATAGTCAATCAGGTTTACAAATGTAGCATTCAGTTCACAAAATTTCACAGATTTTGTCAAATAATGTTCAAGAAAACCAAAGGCAAATAAGGGACACAAAAACAGAGATCGCACAAGCTAAGTTTCAGTGATTTCTCCTACAAGATTCTCCTAATACACACTCGTACTGGATTTATCTCAAATTCTCAAGACCTCGCAGGAGTCTTTGGACAAAGATTAGTATCCAAGGGGTATTGTGTATGGTAAATCAAGGGAAATATCAAGGAGTATTGAAAAAGTAAAATTTTCAGAAATTAGAGAGATCTCACCCAGCGAGTATTTTTCAACTCAGTGTCCTTCAATACTGTTTAATTGCAGTTCCAAAAATTTTAGATCTGCAACAGATCATATAGCTTTCTTCGAAGATTCAAGTATCTTGCTCTCAGTCCAAACTCTGATACCACTGAAAGGCCAAGACCCACAAGTATCAGAGTCAAGATACAAGAAACTTAAAATGATAGAAAACTAAAACTGCAGAAAAGTAAATGAAAACAAGAGATTTTCGGCCTAAGTCCCAGAGGTTCGATATAAACCTACTCCCCTATTGAGCATTCACAAAAGGATAACGCTCAATTGCACTATACTAACTTCAAACTGGCAACGAATGTTACAAGGAGTTCAATCAACACAAAGAATACAAATTAGAGACTTATATCTTCAAGGATTCAACAAGATCTTGGTTGAATCACACAATAATCACCAGATTAGAGCTATCATGAACTACAGCAAACAGAATCCAACAACTAGCAGATTTCCACACTTGGAAATCAAGTATTCTACGGTTAACACTCGTAAATCATGAAAGAGAACAAAGGATTTACAATGAATAAATCAGACGAAAACCCTAAGTACAAAAAACTCTCTCGAAACGAAAACCCTAAGTACAAAGAACTCTCTCGAAACCCTAATCCTAATCGGGAGAATGAGAAAAGTGAGGTGAACAGTCGATTACACGTTTTTATATCTCAATCCAGATTTCATCCAACGGCTAGCAGTGAAGACAGATGTCAGCAGATTAAAAGACCAGCTTATTAAGTAAATCCATGTTTTCCAGAAATACGACTTTAGGCTGAAAATATAATGTAGCAATTAAGTAAGGGTTCGAATATCCAACACCACAATTTGAGTTAATTGGGCCATCCTGCTTGATGATCTCTGATTTTGCCTTCTTCTGATGGTTCCTTCCATTGGGACGACTGGATTTTTATTCTCATCCTTCTTCGGGTTTTCATTGTTTCTCGATCCATTTCCACTCATGCTGCTTGGCTTTTTGTGTTCTTCACCTGGGTTTTCCTCGTGATTTAAAATAAAGTTGAATGATCAAATTGAAAATTTCGTTAGAAGTTGGGTGCCCATGAGTAATATTTTTTTTTTCTTGATTTTAAACATTTTAGCCCCAAATTGATCGTTTGTGCGTGTATTCTGATTTGGGGAAGAAAACCTAGAGCCCTAAAGTTGCTCGCCAGCGGAGAACACGCATGATTTATTTCTTCTGCTTTCTTCTTTATATAGATATATAAAGCATCTAAAATTAATATCTGTTTATCTATAAATAGTTCATAGTTAATTGCTGTTTTAATTGATCATAAAACTGTGTTTCAGGAGAAGTCACGCCACCCAATCATCTCACTGCAGCCAGTTGCTGTTCCAGGACTTCTTTTATGAATAACATCATCTCTGAGGTAAGCTTAATTCAAAGGATGAAGATTGTAGCTAGAAATGTAGGAAATTCAGTCAAGATTAATTTATTGGTGGAGTGAATATGATGTCATGTTAAATGCTCAATTTTAGTGTATAAGCAGTGGAATGAGCTTAAGAATTCTCCTTAATTTACCGGTACAACAAGGACGTGTATTAAGAATAATTTTGTGCATATTGTTGGAAAGGGTGAGATGAGAATGAAGAAATTGTCTTTGTTTTTGAATTTGAAGGAAGAAGAAGAGAATAAAAATGAAGTTTAATTCAATTTTGAAGGTCTTTTGCAATGATTGTGTCATTTAATTCAAATGACTTTCAATTGAAAAAAACTTTGGACAATAATTTGTAAGATTGATGACCAAAAGTGTTTTGCTTCTTTTGAGAATAGAAGTCTATCGGCATTAGATCATTAGCTGTAGCCAGTTAAGCTGTTACATGTTATATGTTATAGATAAATAACGGTAGACCATAAATTTGAAAGTCATTGCTTATTTCTTATGTTAATCTAGATTGATATCAGAGGAATTGAGAACACTCATCTTCTCAAGCATCTTTGGTAGTAATAATCGAAAGAAAAGCGAAAACTCAGAGTGGGGAAGAAATGGAAATTTTCAATGGATGATTTCACATTTTCACACTGTCTATACAAAGCATCTAAAAAAAGTTTTAACAAAAATCCTACTTTAAAGTCGGTATCATATAGTCATGTTGTCAGACGCGAATCAATTCCAGTGATTTGGATGGTGTTGTGGCCGATGAGTGTTTCTCCTTTTCTTTCTGCAAGTGAACCAAGCATTGTTAGTTCACGTGAATATAATCATTTAAATTTAGCAAGGTCATCCACTTTTTTATGAAAGGTAACATGTATGAAAACTAAACCAACCATTTATGCTTTGTGTTTCTCCATGCCTTATCCAATTCCTCGAAAACCAAATCTATTGTTGGACGACCTCTGCTCGAACTTGCTACACAAAGTACTGCAATTTGTAGTATGGATTCAAAATCAACGGTATTCACACTCCCTTTCATCCTAGGGTCCTAGAAATCTGTCAATGGACGTTTCCCCATGTTCACGTCCTTTGCCTGCATGACATTCATGAATCAATATTTTTGGTGCAGAAATTTCTTTGATTTTCTCAAAAGTCCACTTATAACATATAGTTCATTATAAGTTGTCTCTATAGCTGAAATTTAGAAATACTGGGTGGCTTTTAGATATTGATTCATTGCAAACTAACAATGGTTAAATTTAGTTCGTTAGAAAGAAAATAGGTAAAATTGAATCAACACATGTTAGAAAGAATTGTACTTCTGCTCAAATGGTTAAATTTAGTTCGTTAGAAAGAATTGTACTTCTGCTCAAATTGTGCTCGTTCACTAATTTCAACACATGTTTTCTATTGAATATAGAACATGGGTGGTCACAGAGTTAGGAATAAGGAACCAATGACATGGTCGGATGAGAATGAACTTACTTTTATTGAAATTCTGTATGAGAGAGTGAAATCAAACGCATTGCAATGTTCTACGTTCACAATGTGATGGTCATCCACTTTTTTTATGAAAGGTATCATGTATGAAAACTAAACCAACCATTTCTGCCTTTGTGTTTCTCCATGCCTTATCCAATTCCTCAAAAACCAAATCTATTGTTGGACGACCTCTGCTCGAACTTGCTACACAAAGTACTGCAATTTGCAGTATGGATTCAAAATCAACGGTATTCACACTCCCTTTCATCCTAGGTTCCTGGAAATCTGTCAATGGACGTTTCCCCATGTTCACGTCCTTTGCCTGCATGACATTCATGAATCAATATTTTTGGTGTAGAAATTTCTTTGATTTTCTCAAAAGTCCACTTATAACATGTAGTTTATTTACACCATATGAAACATAAAATCACGTGGTATGTGTATACCGTCCTAATCTTGGGTGCAGGTGCACAAATATTTGTTCATTTCGAGTAACAAATGGTACCTTTGTTGTGAGTTGGTCTCTTGCCTCCAAATCGAGTTCAATTACTCTTTGTCCTGATAAAAGTTGCAGAATAACAATGCCAAAACTGTAGATATCACTAGCACAAGTCAATTTGGCATTGCTCATGTATTCGGGGTCCATATAACCGATGGTTCCCCGAACATCTGTAAATACTTTGGTCTCATCCATTCCCAGCATCTTTGCTAAACCAAAATCAGACAGCTTAGGATCAAAATTTGCAGTCAGAAGAATATTAGTCAGCTGCAAAACCAACAAGCAAGGAACATTGTCAAAACTAGCCTCATTGTCTAGTTCTCGAGGCAAATGTTATATATTTATGTAGTATTTTATTAGTGAGATAGATGTATCTCTTCCCTTTTAGAATGAAATGGTAAAAGAAGTTTCATAGTAATTTCAAGTACTGTGGTGATTAACCTTGATATCTCTGTGAACAATGCAACCATCAATATGATTATGAAGATATTTGAGAGCAAATGCGCAGTCCCTTAGGATCTTGACCCTTCTATCCCATGTTAGGACAGTGTCTTTCCCTAAACATAGATCAAAAGGATTAGACATCTTAATCATAGTGTTCCAATGGGCTTAAAGTAATCAAAATACAGTGATTGGAGAAGAAAGTTGTGTACTTAGAACATTTTGAGCTAGATTTCCGGCTGAACAATATTCATAGACTAAGTACTGTTCCCCATCTTCGATGCAGCAACCAAACAGGCAGACAAGGTTTGGATGCCTGACTCTTGAGAGACCTTCAATTTCCCGGTAGAAAGAATCTGAAGTGTTGCTCTTATTACCCTTAGATATTTGTTTAATTGCCACGAGTTGTCCACTGGGTAGCATGCCTTTGTAAACCCGTCCTGCACTTCCTCTTCCAAGGCACTTCTTTTCACCGCCATAATTAAGTGCGTTGTGAATCTCAGCTTTGGAGAATCTGTAGAGGCCAGAAAAAGCGGGAGCAATCTCTGTGATCCTAATAGATTTTTTCTTCCGATTTCCATTCTTTGTTACGTATTTGATCAGCATAATAACCAATGTGAACCCAATGATCACTAGAACAATTGATAAAATTGCTTCTGCCAAAGCATCTGATAGATTTTATATGTCAGTCAGAATGAGTGTTTCCTTTATGTGGTAATTGTTTTTTAATTTAACAGAAAGTATGGGTGCTGAAATGAATTTATACTTACAGTTGAGTTTAATGTAATTCACAGGCTCTGCACAAGCAAATAACAAAAGTCATTAGCAATTAGCATATATAGCATCTTAGTTTATAACCAGAATTTCAAAATAGTTGCAATTTTTCATGCGTTGCACATAATAAGAAGAGCCGTGCTATTCGTCCCTTGACGAACTGGGATGCCAAGTGGCGGCCCCCCACCCCCCTATAGGTGGGGGTCTATGACCTTGGACGAATAGATTAATCCTAATAAGAAAGCCAGTTTGTGACACACACACGTGTGCAAATGCCCTTGTAGCTGTAGGCACACATATATAGCTATTTAGGGACAAAATTTGTGTACCTGGAGCAGCCAAGGCAGGCAAGCACCTGTTGAAATCACTTATGATAGAAGTATTATTCATGTTCTTAGCTATTATTGAGACAATAAGAGCCAAAAGACAGGTAGCTTTGTCAGTTTTGTTTCCTTTAGCTGATAACCCATCTCTCGCCTTTAATAATGCAGTGGTGCAATTTCCACAGGCATCATCGAATGAAGAATTGAATAGAGAACATTGGCTTATGACATCTAGTTTATCTGTGATCAACTGTGGCAATTGAAGTTGAGAGCATTTTCCATTTCCATAGAAGAAATTGTCAAAGCCACAGGTTTCAGCAGAAACACCATGCTGAAGCTTAAAGGGCTGGTTACAGTTTTTCCACTGATCTTCCGGGATGAAGATATTTCCAGATGAATCATTATGTGAGTGCAGCGCTAATGCGTATGAAAACACGGTGAAGACATTTTGGCAGCAACTGGTTTTCGGGAAACCATTCCAATCATTGACCTTTTCCTCGACCCTGCTGCATCCGCCAATCGGTAGGTAAGGATATGAACTGAAATCCAACGTGCAAGCTGCATGTTTTTTCCGATCCGATTAAATAATATTAGCCAACACTGATAACAAAAGAAGAGTGTTGACCTCAGAAGTCGCCGACTGTCAAAATTGTGCAAGAATCTACAGATGCTGTTGCTTTTGAGGACTGACATCTAAAACTATGGATGTTCAAGGTGGCGCTGGGGTTGCCCACCAGCAGAAGAGTCACTTTATATACACACAAATTCCCTTATTTACTATTTGATACAGAATAATGCTAACTTGCTAGAAAGATATTGACAGATTCTTTGACATAATGGACGTTGGCAAAATATGATTAGATGAAAAAGTTGACTGTGTTTTAAACGGTCCAATGATAAAATGTCATGTGATATTATATCAAAGATTATGTGAGTCTATGGCAGTGTAGCATAATTCATCTGATACATGCACTTGGATGCTTTTATGTAGTTGTCTAGACGTATGTTTTTCTGTAGATCAATCCTCGAAGCAACAACATTCCAAGATTCTCATGACAGTCGGAAATTTCGACGTCAACTAAGAATTTTGTGTGTAGTGGTTGTGGCAGCGATGGTGGTGATGTTTGCTGGGGGAGGTGTTGTGAGTGGAAGGTAACATTTTATACCTGGATCTTCAAGAGATGGTAACGATTGTGAAAAAGCTTGAACATGGAAGAGAGTGATGAACAACAAAGAAGCTATCTTGTACTTCATGATTCTTGCTTTCGTTTCTCTCCTAGTAAAAGCTGATTTCAGATTAACATTTTTTTGAAATCTTGCTAGAAAAGCTTCATTTCTTGAAAACTTTTTTTTAAGACAAGCAAAGTGTGGATAATATTTATAGCAGAAATCTTGTTCAGAATCCTTGAAGTATTCGGATATTCTTATATAATATATATTTCTTGCTTAGTTTTGTGCTCAGCATTGTAAATAACGTTCTTACAGCATGCGAGAGAGCATCCGTGCTGTCGTTGGCATGCACAAAAACAAAAGAATGCCCGAAGATACTAATAAATTATGAAGAAAAATCTTGATGTTTCCAAAGACTCTCATTAGCAGTTATCGTTGGTAAAGAGTCCAATTACAGCTATACTTTTAACGTTGTTTCATAACTATTATTGAGATTTAAAGTTTTTTTCCAATAGTCGAGGTAGTTTTACAGTTGTTCTCCAACTGTCACTGAATTTATAAATTTTCTGATTAGTCATTGCACTTTTAAAGTTGTGTTTTTGAGCAGTCATTCTACTTTCAATATTGTTTCGAACTTTAGAATTTTTCGAGTAGCTTAGTCACGGTAGTTGTAAAGTTGTTTCCTACTTTTCTTCAAATTTGTGTTTTCTAATAATCACTTTAAATTAATTTTGTTTTCAATCTAACATTCAGGATCATTTGGAAAAGTAGCGATTATGTTTGTCAGGCTGAGTGACAAATGGGAAACACTACTGAAATTAGTGTGATTATTAAGAAAAAGCTTTTTAAGGTTCAGTGATTATTGAAAAACGATGCTTAAACTATTGTGATCATTTATATTTTTAATCGGTTATTAAATCAATATTTTTTTTCCTATATGCTATCGAGATAAACAATTAAAACGTAACTTTTAAGCATCGATAAATGTACAAATTCAACATAGTAACAAGTGTTAAATTTTATTCACTTTTATTCATCGATAAAAGTTACAGTTGTACAATTATTGAGAAAATGAATATGATCCATAAATGAGGGGCTAGTTTGTAAATTTTAGGCGCCGGTAAATAATTTCTTGGGTCAAAATCAGATGTAAAATAAAACAAGTTTCAACCTTATCCGTTTACATGAAGAAAAAATTATAGTTGTTAACTAAGGAACCAATATAAAAATCAATTGTTTGCTAAAGTTAATGTTCTAGTTTATTTAGAAATGGAACAAACTATCTTAAGGGAATTTGGCGGGAATGGTACCTTTGCTTTCAGCGTGGAAATAGTCCTTAATATTTGTTTTTTGGTATGAAAGTCCTTAATATATGTAATTTGACGCGCAATTGGTCCCTTTTTAATGAAAAAACAATGCACACTTAAATTTGAATTAGGAAAAATTGCAGTGGGTCCCTAACCTCGCAAAAGAATTCAAATAGGTCTCATACCTTTATTTAAAAATATTTGCTTTAGTATATTCAATACATCATTATAGTCTTGTTAATAAATTTTCGAAAAGGAGAAAAAAAAAAGTTCAACTACCATACTTTAACGGCATGTAATTGCTTTGTGACGGGAAAAAACTTGAATAAAAATTAAATAAATAATGAAATGCTTAAATTAGTTTTATGACATTAATACTATCTTATTGTGTTTTTATTTTGCCCTGTTTAGTGGGGATTAAAATCAAAATTTTAGTAAATTTTAATAAAAATTGATGAAATTTGTGGTTGAAAAGTTATGAATCCTTTAAAATATATGGTTAAAATTAATTATTTACTTTTGCTTAAATTAAATTTTAGATTAAGCCCTACGAAACATGGGCTTTATATTAACAATTTGGTCAATAAATTCTTGATAGAAAAAATATCGTTAATTTCTTTTATTTTTTCATAAAAAATAAAAATTCAACACCCATTTGTAATTTTCCAAACATTAGGGACCTAGTTTCAATTTTTCATATCTAAAATTAATAGCAAGTTGGTCTTTGTATTAAAATAATAATAATACTTAGCCCTTTTAGCAAGTATTTTATCGGTCAAATCATTTTTTATTCATACATTTCGGTTTATATGTTTGACAATTTTTTTATTTTCATCACTTCATCAATCCTAAGACAATGTTCAAAGTCATTGGTTGCTTGAGTGAGGTGGACACATTGAACTTGGCTTGTTTATTCTACACCCTCAAGACTAGTTTACCTTTCTCCTCATCGATTGGGGCTCGACTTGTTTTTAGGGAATGGCTGATCCAAATTATTGGCATATCCTAGTCTTCCTCAGTATCCAATGTGATGATATCCTCCAGAAAGATACATTTGTCTACTGTGATAAGCAAATCTTTAACCATTCCGTTAGGATACTTGATTGCAATCTATCAGCTAGCTAAAGTTATATCGTAGTTGCTTTGGCCTCTCCCAATCTTAATTTCGATAAACAGAGAGAGATATCAAGTTAACATTTGCACCTAATTACAGAATAGTGAAATTTATGAATTCGCAAGTGGTATAAGGGATCCTTTTTGACATCTCTTTCATGAATTTTATGTATAATGACATTTGACCTAATTTATATAGGAAGAAAATATTGTTGACCATTTTATTTTTTAAAATATCTAGAAACTTTTCAAATTGCTTATCTAACTTTTGCCCTAGGGGGTGGACATAGTTCCATTTAATTATGGGTCCAAAAGAAACGAATCGAACCATGAACCAATGAATTTTTTTTGTATATATAATGGAATCAAATGGATTTTTTAAAGATATAGAACCAAATCGAAATCGAACCATTCGGTTCTGGTTTGGTTCAAGTTTCATTTTTAAAATTTTCAAACTTACACCATATCCATAAGTTAGTAATATATACTAAAATGAAAAAGAAAAATCTGCAAGATCAAATTATCAATCATCAAGATCACAAAAGTTCAAACTAACAAAAATATATATATATAATCATAATTTGAATGCATAAATCAATTTTTATTCTAATACAAAAAAAATTGTTTAATAAGTGCTAACAATGATTCATTAAATTAATTACTGCAGTTTTGATGGCACACACTCACAATGAATGATGAATTATGCAAAACTTTTACAGTCCACTTTTATATGCAACCGTTAACCATTTAATACTCCATAAATGTTTATTGTATTATCTTCTATTTGTGAAGAACACAAATAATTCATCAAATAGTTTAGGTGAAACTAGTTTAAACACTTTTTAAATGACTGACAAATTACATTTTCTAATTTTGAAATAGTCTTCTCCATTGGCGTGATGATATGCGATGTCGGCATGCCGCGACGTTGTATAAATCGAAAAGGAGTGAAAGAGAAATCATTCGAATGAATACAAAATTATGGTGTACATAATTAATGGGTTGTCTCCAATAAATATAAAATTAGAGTTTTCACTAATTAATATATTTAAAAAAAATTTAATTGAGTTTGGTTCTGATTCTTAGTTCTAGAATTAGAATCTAACCATAATCAAAATCAGAACCAAATGGATCTCGATTCGAATAACCAACATCAATTTTTTTAGAACTGAACCAAATCACTCGGTTTGATTTGATTCTAGTTTGGTCTAGACATTTTTGTTAGATTTATGTTATATTGGCAATTTTTTAGACAAGACGATTGTTATAAAAGAGTTGTAAAAGTCACGGAGTCTTTTGGAAGGTTGTTTAGATGAAATAGGAGTATTTGAGTTTGAGTATGAAACAAGAAAAAAGAGTCACCCGATTAAAGCTAGTCTGTCGCCTAACTGATACTCGAATGGAAAAAGCAGAATCAATGTCGTCAGCATATCGCTCGAGCGATGCACCTCTCGCTCGCTTGGCTCTTAAGCGACAATGTTATACATGAAACACTAGTTTGCGATTTTTAAGAGTTCTATCTATCATATACTATCTAAATATCTCTTATTATAAATACTCAATGCCTAGTACATTTTTGGTGGGTGGTTGATCATTATTTTACATCATCATTACATCAATCTAAGATCTAAGAACACATCCAAATATTAAGATTAAACTTTTGATTCTTGAGATTAATCAACCACAAGTTGGTAAAAATATTGAATTCAAATAATTTAAAACGCCCACTTCGTATATATAATTAGGAAGTTACTTTCTTGGTAGCTTTCAGATATTGCTGAAGATTGAGGGAAGTTAGACCAGAAGCACAGGAAGAGTACAAGAATAAGGTGTTCTTGGTGATCCACATGGGATATACAATTCCAGAAGATCGGGAGTAGGTGTGAGTGAAGCACATTCCAATGAGTCTTAGAGATTGCAGGAAATAAATCAACGAGTCTAGTAAATTTTCTAAGTTGGATCATACTATAAGTTCTTATTGTTTATAATGGAACTATTGGCTTGCAGGAAATAGATCAACGTGTCTAGTAAATTTTCTAAGTTGGATCATACTGTAAGTTCTTATTGTTTATAATGGAAACTATTGGCTTTGTCTTGAAGTTTTTACCCAGTCAAGAGTTTTCTCTATCAATAAATCTTATGTTATTTACTGCTCTATTTATTATTGTAGCAATTCATTATAGGATAAAATTGACTTGATTGACTAAACATCTAGAAGAACTTAAAAGTGACTTGTTGCTTTTAACTGATAATTTTAATTCCGCGTTATTCACTTATTAGGTAATTTTAGAGTCGAACTAGTAACTTTCAATTTTGTCCACCCTTGTGCCTTTGTAGTCTCTAGACAAACGACATAAGAGGCACATATGCGTTGATAAGAGAGGTTGTCTTAACATGTAAACTATGTGATTTTTTTTATTCAATTGCCTTTTTCCGATTTTTTGCACCATTAACAAGTGCTCCTCGCCAGTGGAAACTGGAAAGTACCTTATCATTTTTAGCAACTAATTGTTTCACAGGTAGATGGGTCATTGTATGTAGTGATGATGGCATTTACCAACTCCCTCGGATTTGTTTCAATATTGCTAGGACGAATACTTCACTGTCATTCAGAGAAAGCACAGGCTAACTAATTACGCCCAAAGAATAATGCGGTAGTTGTAGTGCAGCTTTAGGGTGTCGTATCAATAGGTAGATGGAAAAATTATCAAGAATTCCAAAAAAAGATGAATTATCTTCTTCAATGTGTAATAAAACTCAATATTTGAAATGTGAAATTAGAATCA